AGGAATGGATTGCAAGACAGGAAGAACATTGTTTGTGACTGTTACAGATAAAATGACAACTACTGTCACAACACTGAGATGTATTTGAAAAAAAATGAAAATAGCCTTTTGTAAAGATCCGGTGATGAGTTTCAGTTGATATTTCAAATCAAATGCACAGACTTCAGGCTGCAAATTTCAAAGAAAATTTACCTGTGCCATTCATATGCATTTGACAGAATGATGTTACAACTCAGGACTAACAAACAAGATGAAAATGAGACAGGAACAAAAGTCCCAAAATCAGAGCAGAGCTAAAAGAAAGAGCATCAACCAAGGAAGCAATAAATCCAACTTGAGAGACCGTTTGTCAATCAATGAGATCCAACATGAGCAACAAAAATTGTACGAATCTCATAGAATAGGACAATACAGAAGATATACATGTTCTACATAAACATGCATCTAATTGAAAATGGCACTTTTCTCAACAATCTCCAAAAAAGAGCTGATGCTAACTTTAGTGGAAGCAATTGAAAGGAAACAAAGTTTCAATTCTAATCAAAGACAAACGATGACAATCATGCATTGACAATCATCTACATGCGACTACGACAATGGGAGTCCACGAGGCTCATGCAGGGGTCACTACTGCACCCTCACCTTCAAACCCAATGCCACAGTGACACACCCAGTCCGTGCCTGTGTCGTTACAGGTGGCATTGTTTGCACACAAGTCAGTCGTGCACTGCGGGGTGGCACAGGTCTGTCCTGTGTACCCCAGGGGACAAATACACTGGAAGCTCCCATAGGTGTTACGGCAAGGAGCATCATGCTCACATGGGGTGCTTATGCATTCATCTATGTCTTCTTCACATTGCATTCCTGCAAAAGGGGGTGGGGATTTTCATAATGATTTAAGTACAATTATAATAGCAATTACTAGTAGTTCAAATGAAGTCCATACATGTTCACATAACACAGCAACAAGTTTTCTAAATTCTATGCATTACTTATACTCATTGGAAATGGGAAACAGCAGTCTTGTGAAAAGACAATCAACAGCCATGCTATCAGCAGCTAAAGCTCCACAGAGAGAGTTAAATCATTCAACAAACACGGAACAGAAGCTAACACAATACCAAAAGGTATCTGAAAAAGGGCAGTGGAAGAAATAAAAGAGAAATAACAGCAGCCTGCAAAAGGGGAAGGAAAAAGAAACAATTGGCTGTTCCAAAACCAGTTGCGAAAATGACATACAAAGAAAAAAATTGAAAGCAAACCCTAACAAGCTGCTATGCAAGATCAAGAGGAAACCACCAATATGGCCGTGCCAACTCAGACAAAACCAACTACTGTGGGCCAACAAATATCTTATAAGCAATAAAGGAAGGATGAAAGGAACTTGAAAATCACCAAAATTGCCATGCCAACCTAAACAGTGCAGAAGACCAGCCAGCCGGCTGAACGGAGGCACACCTCACCTGCGAACCCTGCCTGGCAGTAACAGACCCAGTCAGGGCCAGTGTCATTGCAGGTAGCGTTATTAGCGCACAGATCGGGCGTGCAGGTCGGGTCAGAGCAGTTCTGACCAGTGTAGCCAAGCGGACACAGACACTCGTAACTGCCGAACGTGTTATTACACGGGGCGTTGCGCTCACAGGGCGAGGTTTGACACTCGTCAAAATCCTCATCACAACGCAGGCCTGGGACAGACACAGGTACATGTGCATGTACTGTGAGTATTAGGTAAGTATATCAAACATCACATGTCCAAGAAATAACAGTCAGTGAAAATGGTGAGTAGGTTCACACATCCAATGAATCCATGACTTTTGTGCACTGCGTTCATAACATATTTTCTCATCACAACCAACATCACTACTAGTACTAGCAGTTCTGTTGAATTCAGGTAGTTATACTTTGGATACCTGACACTTCACCATGTCGCGAAATACTTGTAATTCTATATAGTATATACAGGTATGTGTATGTGACATGGACAGCAAGGATATTTAGGACGCAATCATGCACTGGTGAGACTGTAGTACCAGTACATCTTTACATCTACTTAGCTGTGTTTCAATACTGACATGTTGTCAGTAACACATTACTGCATGCATTTAAGGGGAAGCTGAAAATTAAAATCACCATATGGTATGCAACTCTTAGTCTCCTACACATGCTTTCTACACCAAAACTTCCCAAACAACATGCTCCTAGTCCTGAGGCTACATTAGACTGACCACATGCACCGGCATGCACTGAACACCATGCAGGGACCAACACCACAGGGTTATCTCCAAGTAACCACCACATAACTCTGTATAATGAGGACTGCTGTGACAAGATTGTGCAGGCTCTTTCCCTTTACCGTTCTCTACAGGCAGAACAAGGGGGAGTATATTTCTCCAAAGGTTGAATGTACACTTATGGGCTATTCCACTTATGAGGTGGAATAGGGGACAGTAAAAATCAATTTTACTTGATCCCTTCATTTCATACAGATGCTATCTGACCATCCTCCCTTCAATTTAAAATGGAGTATTCCAAAGGACACAGCAATCCTCATCATCTGGGGGTTAATGACTGTCAATGTCAAGGTCACCATTTTCCTTCCCATCATACCTTGGTAACCCTCAGCACAAAGGCATGACCAATGAGTCGAGTTTGTCACACAGGTGGAACCGTACAGACACACGTCACCGCTACACACAGGCACGTCACAGTCGTGCCCGGAGTAGCCCAGGGTACAGTCACATGTGTACGTCCCGACAGAGTTGTTACACCTGGCCCCATTCTGACATGGGAAGGTCGTGTTGCATTCGTCAATGTCAAGTTCACATCGGTCGCCTACGAGAGGGTAGAAATGTTGACATCATTGATTCTCCATAATCCACCACTTCATTCCCATTACTACTTACAGGCACAAAGTCTCCCTACACAAACCTTGTCAAGAAAAATCCTGTTGATGTTCTATTCTCAGAGTACTTAAGTGTCATAAGCACTAGTTCTTTGTGCAGGAGCCTTTGTTACCTTAAGTTAAAATAATTGTATGTATCCTAGAAAAACACAAGATATACATCTTGGTTACATATGCATCTCCACTCCACACCCATGCATGTCATGCACTGCGTTTCTATCAGCTTCATGCAGATAGTAAAAATGACAAACGCCAACATCCAGATCTGTGACTGGGGAAAAAGCTTTCATGCGTATTTGAGGAATTTTCTTATCTAAAAAAAAAGCATGTAAACAGTGGAGCAAACATCATAAAGTAAAAGTCCACCTAGATTCTAAGCATCATGCACACTGTGAATGTAATATAATTAATAATAGCAGCATCAGATACAATTTACGTATTCAAGACAGGCAAACTTTTCTAGCATGCAAAATAAATATGAGGGAGTGTTAAAAGTGATAAACTAAGCTTCAACAAAACTAGGTCAGAAAATGTATCTAGAACTTTATCAAAGACATAAATCCTGAAAAGCCTGAAAGAAAGTTTGCATTAACCAAACTTTGATTATAAAAGTGATCTATTGATAAGAAGTTTAAATAAAACATGGAGGACAGGGGCTGTGCAGTCACCACAACAAATGTTTTCACTGACACCTCTTACACACAACACATCTGTCACAAACATAGCCTGGAATTCATCACTATGCCCTATTGCTAGTTCTATGGCAGTCAGTCCTAGAACTGGGAATAGCGCATAGGGATGGATTCCAGGCTAACAAACACTTCTGTAAAAGTTACTAAAACTTGTCACAAAGACAACTGATTCCAAACCAAAGAAACAAAGGTTCAATCAAAAACTCAAGGGTGAGAAACGTCAACTTTTGACCAACTTTTCGTAAGGCCGGTGGCCTTGGTTTGGTTTTACCTGGAAACCCGTCGGTACACACACAGACCCTGCCCTGCTGAGTCATTCTACAGCTACCATTGTTCAAACAATGGCCCTCCTCACAACTACGGAATTCGCAATGGGTGCCTGTTGATGTAGTGTGCAGTACAAGTGAACATCAACAATGACAAGGACATTAACATGTAATTGCAGATACAGAAGTCGATAAAGACATTCACTGCCAAGTTCACCTTCAGTGCCCTTAGTGCTGAAATGCCTTCAATGGGATCAGCAGGATGTTCATGTGAAAGTTTTAGGAGCCACAAAATTCATGTGACAAGCTAAAAATCCCTGAAAAATGTACTGTAACAGAAAAACTGGCCTTACATTCAGATGTTTTCTTTTCATACTGCAAAGGAATTCATATACGGCCAGTTTGAGTACAGGAGTTTCTTTTCTTTGGCACAGACAGACACTGCCAAACCTTTGAGAAAAATGAGTATTACCTTCGTATCCCTCGGCACAGTTGCACTTGACAGACCCAGGCAGGTTCTCGCAGGAGCCGTTGTTCTCACAGGTTATCGTCAGACACTCGTCAATGTCAATATTACATTCTGTTCCATTCCAACCTGCAGGGGACAGTAGGAACAGAGTTAGGGTAGTATAGACACCTACCTACCTAGCCCCTTGACCTCCTATTCGTTGGGGGGAATGACAACAGCATGGAAACACATTGACAGGTTATGGAAAACTAGAAACTTACACATTATACATGTAAAAAATAACAAAAAAAATACTTCTCTACATATTGAGATTGGTATTTGAATGATTCTTCTTGGCCAACAAGATTACAGATACAGCACAACCTGAATATATTTCCTAGCCTGGGTGCCAGACTGTTTCCAGGGTCTCCACAGGCCAGTTCCAGATGCCCCCAAAGAAATCATACCACACCCCCTCTCAGTTAGGCTACCTCTGGGCCTAGCGTATTATTGGTCTGGCATCCAGGCTAAATATTTCCTTGCCAATGCAATGATGTACATACAAATCAAGCTATGACATACCATCAGTGCACTGGCATGTGTAGCCATTGACGTGATCTGTGCATACTGCCCCATTCTCACACGGGTCAGAGGCACACTCGTCAATATTGGTGCTGCAGTTCTTGTCGGTGTAACCCGGCACACAGGTGCACTCGTAGTCAAATATCTGCCTGTTGTTGGTGCAGGTGGCTCCAAACTGGCAGGGCTGGCCAGCGCAGTAGTCAATCTCCTTGTCACACAGCTTCCCCTCATAGCCAGGGGGACAGATACACTCAAACGAGGCCTGGAGGAAGATAGCGTTCAACAGTTGCCTTCTTTGCAACATACTTTGAGTACTGTTTGGTGTTCACATGTTACAATTCTTTGGTACGTTTCCACTGTACAATAGACACTAGCAACAAGCCAATATTAGATCCCGTGTATGTTTCACAGACGTGGCTTCAAACAATGTAATATTACAAATAGCAGGTCTAAAGTCATAGCACCTAAAACATATCAAGCATGGTAAACATACATGTACAACAAGGTAGCACTAAAAACTGTGGATATTATGCTGTCATAACAGGGAAGGAAATTAACACTTTTTTTAAGCAAAACATCACTTCAAGTCTTCAGTCAACAAAGCAACAACATAGCATACTATTGCTTGATACAACAGTACCATTTCTGACATCAACTTCTCTCAACATTTGGTTCAAGAAATATCCTACCTTGCTAGTTGCAGTAATGTTGAGATCATTACATGTAGCTCCATTTAGACAAGGCCCAGCATCGCAGTTGTCATAGATCTGTAAGTGTCGCAACATAGCTCCATTTGTCATGCAGCAGCCAGGTTTAACCATGTCTCAGACAATTTGAGTTACTTATAATAGTATAAGGCAGTCTTGCACATCCAATGGCATTGGTTATAGCTGCTATTACTAGTATAACTGCAACACATCCACCAAAAATTAGGAACAAAAACTCTTCATGCAGTAGACACTCTGCTGTTTCATTGCATTACATTGCATTTCTCTCAACAAATCACTACTAGTATTACTCAGCATGTAAGCAGGTAAGCAGGAAGCATATCATTAATTGTACATGTAGTTAGTCAAATTAAAAAGGCAGTTAAATTTTGAGTTGACCAATATAGTTACTTTTCAGTTATCAAAAGCTGCACAGCACAAACCTATCAGCTGCAAAGCAAAGACACAATAAAAATCCTTTGATTGGCCAAACTTACGTTAACCTCACAGAATTCACCCGTGTAGTTGGTGGTGCAGTTGCAGAAGAAAGCGTTGACCAGGTCGATACATGTGGAGTTGAACTGACAAGGGCTGGAGTCACACTCGTTGATTTCCGTCTCGCAGTGATCCCCGACGTACCCAGGCACACAGTCGCACGAGTACTCGTTGATGGCATCTTGACAGGTGGCCCCATTCTGGCATGGGGCTGACATGCATTCGTCTATGTTGGTGCTGCAGTTCTTGTCATCGTATCCCGGCACGCAGGTACAGTCGTAGTCATTGAAGATGTCAGTGCAGGTGGCGCCGTTAACGCAAGGCTGTGGCCCGCAGACGTCGTCACTCGTACAACCGACGGTGATGCTACTGGCAGACTTGAGGTTGAACTTCTTGGAGGCATTGGTTGGGATCTGCGACAGCTCGAAGAATGGCAGAAGGACTCCACCCACACGCACGTTCTCCATGCAGCCCTTGAAGTAACGCTGCCCACCCTGGCTCCCAACTTGGATCGTGTCTTGTCCAACAAAGTCGTCGAAGTTTGGTGCAGCCTGGCCCATGTTTGCTGTTGCATTTTCTGCACCGTTGTCCACAGTAAGCTGTGCGACGGTCCCCAAGAAGGTGACTTCTGCCGTGTGCCATTCTCCGTCACTGACGTCAAGGTTTCCCTCGGCAGCAGGTGCGTTGGCGCTGTTGTACGTAAAGCGGACATTCCCACCCACAATTGCAAGCTCAACAGTCGTGGAGCCACCAGACGCTCTGAGGAGGAGGGCGTCTGCGTCTCTTGTGCGGAAGGTGACGTGAAGGGTGTTGTCGATGGCAGTGAAACCTGGGCCGGTGCTGTATTCCAGCATGTCTCGGTCAAAGGTGGCTGATGCAAGACCTGGGGAAAGTACACAGGTTTTACTTTGCAATGAAGGAACAAAATAATCACGTTGTGGAATTACATGAAAAGTGTGCATCAATGTCAACTCACTCTCCTGATGCAAACTTTCACTGCATTAGTGTGTTTGCCATCTTGATGGAATTTGTTATTGTCAAAAACAGTCCCTTGACAATGAGACAAAATATGCTGTGGGTTATCATTCTGAACTGTGAACACAGTGTCATTAAGTTAACATACTTTACAAAATTTCCCATTTTTTCAAAACAGAAGTTAGTCTTACATTCAAACCCATCATCCAGGTTGTTGCAGGTGGAATTTGATGGACAGGGACTGGAGACGCAGAAGTCAGTCTCCGAGCAGTTCTTCCCGGTGAACCCTTGCGGACAGTCGCACTCAAAGTCGTTCCACGTCACCGTGCAGACACCGCCATTGGTGCAGGGGCTGCTGGCACAGGTGTCGTCACTCACACACGTGTCGTTCACGTTGCTGAGGCCGGTAGAAGCGAGGGAAGGAGAGTCGAGCTGGAAGCCTGGTATAGCCAGCGGGTAGAAGTCCAGACGTGTCTGGTTGTAGCGCAGATCCTGTATGCATCCCTTGAAAGGCTCGGTGGTGGAAAGACCCAGATTTGTAGATGGGAAGTCCATTCCGGCAATATACAACTCACCACCTGGTAGATTAGGGACCCTGTCGAGTGTGATGGTATTGCTGACTTGGTCGTTCACGTTGATGTACATGCTCTCGCCGTCTATTGACATGTCTACAAACTTGAACTCTCCGTCTGCAAGCCCACTGCCCAGGGTGTAGATCTTCGGCTGGATGGCTGTTTGGCCTGGCTCCTTAATGCTGACACGGATTCTTCCATTGACAAGTTGCACTGAAGATGTAGAAAAGATATATCATTGTACTCATTTTATGATAGATGTGAGCATAGGTTGTAAGTCATCTAATGACTTGAGACAAAGCTGACACTGAAAGCACAACACAAATGGAGAAACCATTCTAGATTATAGAAACCATCACTTCATTAAGGAAAACCATCAAAGTCTGTTACATGAATCTCACCATCACAAATGTAACAGCATTTTTGGCAACTTCTTCTTTCACTTTTCCATTCTAGTTACACTAACCTAAAATACATGTATGAGTGCCACCAAAGGACCAATCTATAACCTCCTTGCGTCAGCTAAAACACAACCTCTGAAGCAGGCGAAAGGAAAAAAGACACAAACCTGCAACATAGTTAGCATCACGAGGTGGCGTTTCCAGGCCAGTTCCTTGCTCTCCCGTGAACATGAGCAGACCGTCTGGCTTACGTGTCCGGAAGAACATGGAGACCTTGAAGGGATCGTTGGCGCTACGAGGAACCTCAAAGTTGGCAAAACTGTTCAGCTGTTCATTGCTGAAGGTGCCAGTGCTGAAGGCTGTGAAGTAAAAAAAGAGACCATTTAGTGAATCAAGATGATAAAAACGCTTCACTGAACACGATATGACAGCAGGAAAATCCTCTGCTGTAGAACACCAGAGTTAATGGTCGACAGCTCTACGTGAGAACCATTCTTTGTGTACTTTACTTTTAACTTTAAACATACAAGAGCATTGTTAACACTACATGTTCTCTTAGAAAAGAGACAGAAAAAGAGTATGCTGCACTTACTGTAGTTGCAGTTGTTCCCAGTGTAGGGTCGTTCACAATCGCAGGTAAACTGGATCCACTCGTCTGTACACACGCCCTTCCCTGAGCACGGATCAGGATTGCACTGATCTTTCCGATCACAACCCTCCGCAATGGATCCGGATCCTTGAGAGACGTAGTCTGCTGCTACGATGGCATGACCGTCCCTTACAATATCCTCCACACAGCCTACGTAGTTCTTACCAGACGTTGTCAGAGCAAGCATAGCGGTGTCAGCCCCACCAACATACAGGTTTCCAAAATCTACCGTCTGGCCAATGTTACCCCCATTACAGCTGGAGACATCCACGCATACGGACATGGTGCCAGTCTCAAGAATTCTTGCAGTCACATCATGCCATTCTCCATCACTGACGATCTTGTTAGCCTCAACACTACTTTTCACAGAACCGTTGAAGTGGGTCAGCTGTATCTTGTTGTCAACAATTTCAACGATACCATGGTGGTTTACTTCCCCGATGAAGGCCAGAACGCCAGACGGTAATGTGGTTCTGAACCTGATCTGCAGCACAACGGTCGGGCCAGTCTGTGGAGGGACAGTGATATACCCGTTTCCGTCCAACGACAGAGTCGTGCCTTTCTCGCAGTTACGACCCACAAAGCCGTTGTCACAGTTGCAGGTGTAGTTGTGTGTGTCTGTCGCTTCATCTTGCAGGTATGGGACGCAGGTGGAGTTGTTTTCGCAACCGTTTACATTGCAGCCGATCAGAGTAACGGAACAGTTCTTACCACCGAGGCCTTGCGAGCACAGACAGTAATAGTCGTTGATTCTGTCGATGCACAAGGCCCCATTCTGGCAGGGGTTGCCGCCGTACTCTGAACACTCGTCGATATTCTCTTCACAGTTCGTCCCCCTGAATCCCGGCACACAGTCGCAAGTGTACATGTTGATCAAGTCGTTACACGTCGCTCCATTTTGGCACGGATCCGATTCACACTCATTTATATCTATTTCGCAGTTGTCCCCGGCATAGCCCGGAACACAGGTGCATGTGTACCCTCCAGCGTTGGGCCAATCGGTGTTCCCACCTGCCGAATTCTCTGTACACGTGGCTCCGTTTTGACATGGATCTGACTCGCATTCGTCAATGTCAGTTTCACAGTTGTAGCCCTCAAACCCGTCATAACACGAGCAGTTGTAGTAGTTGATGAGATCAATGCAGTTGCCGCCATGTTGGCAGGGGTTAGAGTCACACTCTCTGATCTCCACCTCACAGTCGTTCCCCACAAAACCAGTGTTGCTGCAGTTACAGGTGTAGCTGGAAGGAGACAAAAATGTGAAGTTGATTCAGAGCATGATTATTTGTCATCCAAATTGCTGATGGGCACATGGAATTGTAAAAAAACAGTTCCAGTTTCAATGCAGAAGATTAATTTAGTTTTTTTTTTTCAATTTCTTGTGTTGAATTAAACGTTTGACATCATTTGTTAAAAAGCACATGGCAAAATAATAATAATAACATGTTACAATAATAATAATTTAACTTCCATCAAAGTAGGTGTCAGAATGTATGAATTCTTTATTCATATCTTATCTGTCGTTTCTTTATTTCTATATTACGAGTAGACTTCTCCATTACAAAATGGAGGGGGAAACAAAACAGACCATTGCTCGCCTGTAGTAGTAATCTCCCTGTTCACACTTGTTGTCACCAAATCAAAATAAAAACAACCCCTCCTTACTTGTTGAACAGGTCTGTACACTGTCCCCCGTTCAGACACGGACTGCTCTCACACTCGTCCACCTCCTGCTCACAGTTCACCCCCTCCCAGCCCGGCATGCAGGAGCAGTTGTACCGAGCGATCAGGTCGATACACGTCGCCCCGTTCTGACACGGGTCAGAGTCACACTCCCGGATCTCCCGCTCGCACCACAACCCCGTGTAGCCCGGAGCGCAGGTGCACTTGGCTTCAGCGATGAGGTCCTGACAGGTGGCACCGTTTTGGCAGGGCTGACAGAAACATTACGTCGGTGAAGGTTAGACATCCAGGTACATTTGTGATAATATACACCAAAAAACAGTTACTCAAGAAACTGGATGTGATTTCAAAAACAGTCAGACGTTTTTTGGTAGGACGGAGAGTAACATTACGTTGATAAAGGTTAGACCTCCAGGTAATAAGATACGCCAAAAAACAGTTACTCAAGCAACTCGATATGATTTTGGAAATGGTCAGACATTTCTGGTAGCATCCACTACCTTACCCGTTTAGGCAGGGCTGAGAGTAACATTACGTTGACAAAGGTTAGACCTCCAGGTAATAAGATACGCCAAAAAAACAGTTACTCAAGCAACTTGATATGATTATGGAAAGGGAGACATTTCAGGTAGCATCGATGAAGGTTAAACATCGATGAAGGTTAAACAACTAGGTACGAGAATAAGATATGCCAAAAAACAGTTATCGATATGATTTTGGAATTGGTCAGACGTTTCAGGTAGCAACCACTACGTTTACCTACCTGAGAGTAACATTCATTGATGTCCAGTTCGCAGTTCTTTCCATGGTAGCCCTGACGGCAGAAACAGTCGTAGCTGCCGTCATTGTTGACGCAGACAGAGTCGTGTTGGCATGGCGATGGGTTGCACTCATTAATGTCTTCCTCGCAGGTTACTCCCTGCCAGCCTGGAGAAATAAAAAAAAAGGAGGATGTGATTTTCCTCAAAAAAATGTCACAAAAATAGGTACTACATTGGGTCAACCCAGTCAGTTGTTGTCGTGATACAGATGTGTTACATGTGCACCATTCAACGAATCACATGTCAATATGTAACACAGATGACATAGACACCCACCGCTGGTGCAGTTGCAGACAAATTTGTCGATCCCATCAATGCAGGTAGCATTATTCTGGCACGGATCAGGGTCACATTCGTCAATGTTGACGGCACAGTTCACTCCAGCGAAGCCAAGTGGACACTGACAGTCTGTACCAAGTCCATCCTCTGATATAAAACACACCTTTCCGTCTGTACAATTCACACGTGTGGGCACTTCACACCGATTCACCTGCAAAAAACAACAACCATACAACATTGGGAAGTGAAAGAGGAACAAATGACAAATGGAGGAAGAACCTCAAGGCCGATGCGAAGCACCTGGACACACATAGGAGCAGCTGGTAGAGACTAAGCCCAGGACTGCACTAGATGGAGGGAACTAGTTCATGGCCTATGCCTAAGGATAGGCAGTAGGCCTAAGTAAGTAAGAAACCTCTGCAGTATCAAAGAGGCATGCAAATGGTAGGACATCATGTAAAACCTGTTGAAGGTGTGGCATTACCTGAGTGCAGTTTATGCCTGCCCATTCTCTTGTACAATTGCATCTGTAGTCGTTGACAAGATCCGTGCAGGTGCCACTGTTCTGACAAGGGTCTGGGCTGCAGTCATCGATGTTTGTTTGACATCTGTTACCTGTAATTTAACGAAAAAAAGATTAAGTCAGCGATGGAGGGCAGTGGAACAGTACAAGTAGTAGTATTAAGAATATCCATCGATTCACCAAGAAACAGATGAAACTTTTTGAAACAGTCTTTTAGTAACAGTACAGATAATGGGCAAATCTTTGCTACATAGATCTTGCCCGAATGTAATAAACATTTTCTAACTTTACACATACAGTGACATGAAGGTGTTCTTCAATACATGTAATTCCAGCTCTAAACCTCACCTGTAAACCCAGCCACACAGCTACATGTATAACTGTTGACTTGGTCCATGCAGGTTGCTCCATTCTGACAGGTGTTCTGGGCACAGTCATCAATGTTCTCTGAGCAGTCTTCTCCAGTATATCCAAGTGCGCAGATGCACTCAAAGGATGTCTGCATGAAGGAAGGAATAAAGGAGTGGTGAATAAAAGAATGAATTTTTTATCACGGTGCCATGAAGGTTTGCAGGACAACAGACAATTGTTGTGCAATAAAGTTCATCCATGCAGTATCAAATGAGAATGTCTAACCGGTGAGTCCCTGCACGTTGCTCCGTTCCTGCAATAGTTGGGCCGCTGGACACACTCGTCTTCGAACTCGCAGTTGTAACCATAGTAACCAGCACGGCAGGAGCAGTTGTAGTAGTTGACGTAGTTGTTACAGGTGCCACGGTTACGACACGGGTTGCTGGCACACTCGTCAATATCCCTGCAGTTTCCGGCAGAGCCTACAGATGCGAACAATATTGGTAAGCTTTGTTACAACATTGCAGTACACAGCTCATTTACAAATCAGCAAAAGGTACCTCTATTCAAACTCAGATGCATTATCTAACTTCTTTAAAGACAAAAACTTCTTTAAACAGAGTTAAAATTATCTAAAATAAAGTGATTAAGTAACAATGGACATACATTATATATTGATTACTGTCCAGTATTGTCTAATTAATATAATGAGGGCTAGACCTTTATAATAGCCTCTGTCTAGTTGGGCAGTCCTGGCTGTATAACACTCTATACAGTCAAATAAGATCGAATCAACCACCCACCGTCATATCCTGGCTTGCACTCACAGCGGTACTCCAAACCCTCTGGAAAACAGTCTTCTTCTCTGAGTTGCATGGCTCAGGCTCAGCTTGACAAGCCTGGCTGGTTTCACAGTTGGTCCCCTCAAATCCCGGCACGCAGTTGCAGAAGTACGACCCTTGCCTGTCCTCGCAGGTCGCTCCGTTCTGACACGGGTCTGAGACGCATTCGTCAAGATCGATATCGCAAGTTTCGCCATCCCAACCCTGCGCACATTGACAGGTGAAGCCGCCAGGACGGTTGAAACAGGCACCGCCATTCTGACACGGGTTGTTGATGCACTCGTTCACATCTCTGTCGCAGAAGGGACCTTCATACCCAGTGTCGGTGCAGTCGCAGATCACTCCACCAATGCCGTCTGTGCATACGCCGCCGTTCTTGCAAGGAGCTGGGACGCTGGCGCATTCGTTAATGTTGATTTCACAGTTCACGCCAGCAAAGCCTGAAACAACACACAACATTAGAATGGTCAAGATTATCTCAGATTCATTAAAACAGTTGCCAATTACTAACAAGCACTCATACCTGAATACTGGCCTTTAACAAAAGGAAAGTAACATAGTCAAATTTCTGAATACTTGTACCAGTAGTTGAAATGTAGCACTTCCAGTTTTGGGTACCCAAGTTCCGACTTAAACGATCAGTATTGCAAGGAGTATGTAGAAAAACTGTATTTTGTGATGATATGAAAAATAACATACCCTCAGGACATGTGCATTGGTATCCGCCAGTAACGTTCAGACACGTTGCGCCGTTCATACAGGGTTCGCTGACACAGGGGCTCTCCGTGCATCGCGGTCCAGCCCACCCGTCTCGGCAAACGCAAGTCGTATAGTTCCCGTTCTGTTGCTCCTGACACACTCCTCCGTTGTAGCACAGGTTAGCTTCCGAATTACACAGCGGACCTACACATGCATGGCCAAGTGTTGTCTTTAATGTTCACAGAGGAGGTTACAATCAAGGAGGCAATAGCAGTGCACTACAAGTGGCAAAAGTTTTGTGGTAAAATGTCATGTTATGACATTTTTGATGTGTTACTTCTAGGAAGGCAAGAAGTTTATTTATTGAACAAACTTCTTGCATTCTACAAGAATTGTGCATTGGCCTAAACAGTTATATTTTCAAAAAAGGTAAGAACAAGTAGGATATTCCAAAGCCTTTGTTTAATCATGAGCTTGAGTGCAAAAATGATTTCAATACTCAATACAAACTGAACAAAACTTTTGCCAAGAACTGTGGAAAGACAGACAACAGGAGAAAAAAAGAAGACAGCTGCATAAAAGTATAAAAATGAAAGTGTTACACCACATCAACACCAACAGAAGACAGCACTGAAAGCAAAATAGACCCTTGTTATCAATTTGAAGACATGGAGCCTTAAAAAAAGGAAGTAACACCCTGTTACAACAGCACAAATGTTGTCAATGTCAGGGATGTCTGCAAAGTTTCAAGATAAAAGACAAGGTAACACATCAATTTCTAATCACTGATTGAAAATAAGTATGACTGGAAACCCTTGTACCTGACCATCACCAATTATACCCACAGAAAGAATTGCCCATCACCAAATCAGAATGTCATTTTAGCATATAATTATGTCTACCATGCATGATTACCGATGTCAGAGATAGATTTTTCTTACAAAAAAAATGAATGAAGGGATTATATTTGATTTAAGAATTGTATTTTTGTGTGGAGTCATTTGAGCATGCACTGTTATGACATGAAGGTTGAATCGTATTTTCCAGTTGTGTATCTAGTAATTAAGGAAAAAAAGTTTTCATTAGTTTACAAATTACATACATTATTAGTATTGAAGGGAAGAACTATTATTTGCCACACATGAGATGTGTTATGAATGCGTTAGTTTTAAATGAAGATCAAAAAATGATAGATGCTGGATTATATACGAGACACAAGTTAGCGGTGGCATACCCGTGTCGATCTCGCAATTTCGACCGGTATATCTAGTCGTACAAATGCATGTGTAGTTTTGGATTTCGTCTACGCATATCCCGCCGTTCTCGCAAGGGTGGCTAACACAGGCGTCCGTGTCAACTGGGCCATCTGGGATGACAGAAACACACAGCATGCTGTTATGGTGACAACATGAACACTGGTTAGTCAAGACTGAAGCAAAGCTGAAGTTAATAGGTTAGAGAAAACGTCATCAACAATCAGTACTACTAGTACTGGTATCTATCTTTATCCTTGCTTTTTTTCTCAGCAGCTAACATGATCTAGTAAAAGATTAATAATAGCTAATAATAGAAAACTTGGAGTACATGTGTGCACTGTGTTACATTATCTACATGTAATTGGTTATACAGGTAAGATTGCAGATACAGCAACTCTGCTAGTGATCAGTTAGGCAAGATCTACAAGTATGAGTTAGGCTGTTCTCTATAACAACAGTGTGTCAGTGCCTACACTAGATAGGGAATAAGGACTACAAAGTATAAGATCAGTCGACATAAGATATGCTGAACTGTTATGATGTATTACCATGAAATTTGTTCACCATCTTTATTTGTAAAATACATAATGCAATCTACTTTCCACTAAAGTCAGCAAAGATGTTGATAGTCGGTCTTGTTGTGATCTTGTTATCCTGTCCATGTGGTTACCATGGGAACAAGCAGAGGTTCATGGGAAAGTTGTGAAGGTTGTTGGGATGAATGGAAAATCCATGTGTGGGTGTTGTGTGTGTGGTCTCTGGTGGTTGTTGGGTTACAAGTCAAACAGCTTTTGTGCCAATATTACCTCAGGAAAATAGAATAGAATAACAGTGATGATTGATCACACTTTAATCGCTTTAAAAATAGTAAGAATTATTGGAAAGTTATTGTTTCATGCCCTGGGGCAGCAGGTAGCCCTTGTTGTTTCAGTAACAAGATTTGGAGGAACAGAATACATGTATATGTAGGGAGCAGTCATGTGCCAACCATGTAAAGTTCAGATGTGTATTGAGTCCAGAACACCTAGTCCAGAATTGATCATTGTGACACCATCTTTAACCTGCCCGAAGTGTGGCTCTCCTCACACATAGAACCTCTAGCCTTACCCCTTCTATTAAAGAGAACATTCCCAAACAGAAGCTACATGTAGGCACCCATTGTCACCTGAGTGAAGTGAAGAAAGACTTAGTGGTGTAAATGTTTGACATTTGAGCTAAGCCACCACCTCCCACATACCTCTATCCTCTGCTAGGCCTGGAAAGCAGAGCTTATGTCAACAAATACAGCAAATCAAACTTGGAAGTGTCTTCATAGCTTTGTAGTTGCTACACACATGCACAAGACAAAGTTGCAATGCCAATTGCAAAAGCTATCAAAAGCATTTGAGAAGGAAACAAACCAAACTGCATGCTGTGGTTCAATAAAACTAGTATTGGATAACAAGTCTTTGATATCTACAACAAAAAAGACATGGTATCTAAACATGGAAAGTAGACTACATAACATACAACCTTAAAATAATGCCATTCATGTGCAACATAGATAGAAGAGACAGAAAAACAGAAATCAAAATGTTACTATAAGGACACAAAGAAAGTCAGCAGTATGTCAAAATTTTCAACAAAACATTCTAAAAATGTAAACAATGTTTCGTTTGAAGAGAGGAAAATGCAGCAGCACATCAAAACAGGATGCAAACACAAAAGCTACAAATTCTATCTGGATTCTGGAATTTATGGAGAAATTGCATTTAATTTCTAAAGAGGGATATATCATACATATACTGATATCAGTGTTAAAAACTGGGTTTCTTGAAAATATACTTAGAAAGGTCATCTGACAGATAAAGCTTAATGACTGTTTGAAACGAATATCACTCAGTAATAATGCTACTTTTATAGTATACCAGTATCCATCAGAGTAGTACAGCTTTCTGAAATGAGTGAAAGTAGTAACTTCACCACACTCCGCTAGTGGCTGTCAACACAGCTTTTTGAACACATCTACTTACCACATCCCTCCTCGTCCTCCAAACGGCATCTCCCCCACTCCACGTTGGACTGTGACGTTGCAGTGGTCAGCTGCACCCCTGGTCCCTCGTACACACATCCGGTGAGTCCCTGTCCAACCCTCACTCCATCTCCTCCAGACAAGTTAATGTCGAGAACGTAACCATTGACGGTCCGGGATGCAACTGTGATCTGTTCCCCATCAACACTTAACGTCAGGTTGCCTACAGAATACTCTAGGTTTACTGTGTGCCACATCTGATTGGTGGTGAGTCCTGACCCTAGATCAACGTAATCTTCCCCCCTTCCCCCTGCCCTTCTAAAAGAGAATCTTAAAACCCCGGATTCTAGAAGGGCCAGCTCGATATAGTCCCCATTACGTCCCTCCTGTCGTAGGAGTTGGCCCGCATTGCAAGTTCTAAAGCTGAAGGACGTAAGTCTGGATCTGATGTCTATGGTGTTGGGTAACACTGCATAGGAGTTGAAGCCGTTGAAGAAGGCGTTTGCACTTGGTGTTGGTGTTGGTGCTTGCGTAGTCTGGGCCACAACAGCAGCGAGCAGTGACAGACCTGGAAATACACAAGGGAACATCCTGTCAGTCAATTGTCCAAACTACATATGAAGATACAACTTTTACAAGTTCATGATTGAAGATTAGTAGAACTTAAAAGTGTCAATAAGTTATGATGTTTGTTAAAATGTTCATCATTTTTTCAAACAAAACTTTTAAAAGTAAGTACAATTGGACAAAACCAATTTCATTTTTAGCACATATAGAAGGAATCATATGAATCATATGACAAATCTCATAATATGCTCAAGCACAAGTCGCAAATTTGTCTGGGAAAACTACACAGTAATCTTGTCATCCGTCTCGTGACCCAGAAACCCAGCGGTCACCTCTACTGGGAGCAATGACACAAAGGACATTGATGGACTGGGTTGTTTGCACACTGTTGCCCCCTCCTCATGTTGTACAGATGGTGTGGCCCAGTTCTCACACTGATACAGACTAACCTCCTGACTCCACACTCCCTCTGGTTATTTGTTACCTCACCAAACTGAAGCTAAGAGAATCAGGATGACAGACTAGAAGGGAGTGTGATCTTGGCAAATAGTTTTGACAAGGCAATTGTCCTCACTGACTCGATAAAACATCTCAGTTTTTTCACATCCCAAACAAAACCTACAAACCTATTACGTCAGAAGTACATCTTGAGTGCTAAAGTTAGGCTTCTGGAGAGGCTTTTTGTGACAGAGCACACTGTACCCGTGTGCACACAGAAATTTGCTCCATGAAAATTCTGCACATCTTTTGTCCAGGTCTTTCAAAGATATTGAAAGACATTCTTTATAACCTGCTGAGCAGGAATAAGATCTAGCCCCCTCCTGAGAGGTTAAGAGGAAGAATGAGTGGATGTCATAGAACTATGGTCAAGGTCATTGGGTCAACTTTCAATTAAACCTGGGCCACACAATTACAAGCAAACACGTTTCTGGATAAATTGTACACATGTTGCATGACATTGACAAGGTAACACTTCATCAGTAATGCTTGCATGTTCAAGTCCAGAATGTATAACTCTATTGGAAAATAAAAACTATATATCTGTTCTCTTCTAAATCAAAATCTGTTATTCAAGCAAACAGTCCAAGAAAGGGCACAGCGTCTGTCCAATTACCCCACAAATATAAGAGGGGGTCAGCATTACAGGGCAAATCTGATCTCCCAACAGATTTACAACTTGAGTGGGACCCTGCCAAAACCAACAACCTTTCCATTCTCAGCTGTTGCCGTGGTAACCAGAAATCCTGATAATTGGGGCAGCCATCTTGTGTTACTGTGAAATATGGAAGGCTGTCTATTTGGGGACAATGTTATTGCTTTCTATCAAGAGGCATCTGTTTCAGTCAGGCCATAACTCATGTTTGTGCATGTGTCTGTAACAAAATATCACGGACTATTAATATAACTGTTAGAAACAAAGCTCCAGTGTACTACAGTGCTGTGTTGTAAGTTATATGAAAAAGCAGCCTGAAGAACAATGGTTCAGTGTAGACTCTACTGGACTGCATTCTTGATCCCAAAATTAGTCCAAAGACTTTGTGTAGGGGAAAACTTGATATGGCCAGGATCAACCTCACTGACACACCCTAGTTCTGCAGGTGGATTTCTCCATCAGCAACATTCCCTTATAATTATCAGGAAACAAATTGTTTTAGCTTTGTCTGCAGTTCTAAGCCCACCATCAACAAAGGTGTCTTTAAAGGCTAGGCTCTTATCGAGGTAGACGGATTTAAGGTATTTCCTCTGGGTATATTTGATTCAGACAAGCATAGCAGACTTTAATCTCTTTCATAATCTGTTCAGGGAAAGGCTTGATCCTGTAAACTGCAATGAGATAAACTTTTCTTTGATTTCAAAATAGTCAGCGTATTCTATTAGCCATGTTGACATACTTCCACCTCTCTGGAAAGTTTACGTGGGATAACTTCCGATAAGCTTTACCATGAAACAGGCTACAAAGCAACTACAGGAACCCTACCCCCACTCAGGGCTTTGTGTCCGAAGGGAAAATTTAAATTCCGATGCTAAGCTGGGCCTCAGGGCAGAAACAAAGCCGCTTTGCTGGTTTCTTCAGAAAGACTGTACAATAAAAGTTCTTTCAGTACACGTCAGGACAATGAACCCAACAGAATTCTTCAGGTAATATAAATGAGCTGTAACACCACTTCCTTAGCATACAGTGGTATGTGACTCAAAGGAAGTCGTAGCCAACATTGTTTGTAAGCTATACAGAGTTATAAAAATAGCGGATACAATGACGTAACTGCAAGCTTTAAGTGAAACACCTGTTAAAACAAAACAGGTGGAGCAATATGTGAACTGATGCTACAATGAACCAAAATAGCATTACCAATTGAAGTAGTCCATGGTTTTCAAACATGGCTTATTTGGTCCTCTACCATAGTCTGCTAGCTTACCATGTGTTTCTATTTCTTCAATTCAGAAGTCTCTAAGTCTATTGATAAGAATAAATGTGCTCTTATCCCTTTGAAGATTAGAAGGTATGAAAAAAACTGTTTTAGTTTATTCAAGAAAGCTGTAAGGGGTCAACGTTTAGATCAACTTTTTAAGTCAGCCAAATGATGCAATTTAAACCTTTGGCATCCAGAGTCCTCACACTTACAGGATTAGAGACTAAGTCTACATAAGTGCCCAGAGTTACAAGCACTCCAAACCACAGAAGTGTTTGTTGCCAGTCTTGCTAAGCTGGTCAGCCGCCCTGGCTCAAAAACCCCATTCCAAGGTGGTGACCCCTGAGAAAAGGTTATCTCCTTTTGGACACTGATTGAAACAGAATGCCAGGACAGAACCCAAACCAACCCTAGCAGGTTCTGGACCTAATTTGGGACCTGAGAGGTACATGATGTGGATGCTGATCTCATATTTAATGGTCCAGTAAAGCTATTATTCATCTCAGAGGCGTGAAGTCAAGTGTAGGTGCAAATGGCATATCTTGTGGAAAGTAATCACTCGTTGAAAATATCATTATCAGAAAATTCAACACTTTTTAGCTTTACTGAGGACAAGATCTAGTTCTGCAATACAATGTATATGTATAAGGATGACATATGATAGCTATGGACAGATGATAGACATAGCACTCTTACATGTACAAAATGTTAACAACCCAGCCCAAACAGAATCCAAACAGTCACAACTCTAGCAAATCATCTGACATGTACATGTGTTAGCCAATCAAACTACTGCTCACATTAGCGACTATTGGTATATTTTGCACATCATACAACAGTATGCTTATGACACCTTGTCTCTACAATAATGCAACATCACAAAGACTCTAAATCACTTTTTGTCACCTCAAGTCTTATCACAGCAATTATCTTCACCAATAAAGGATTAGCCCCAGACTGTGAAGCAACACAGGAGACATCATTAAATCCCAATTAACGAGCAGTCCAGGGTGTCTGTAATATGTACACATCATGAGGGGCGAGGAAAAATAACCAGACAAAACTCTCTGGCATGGAAATATTTGCCATGACTATTACAAAACATTTACTGCCTTAGAGCTAACGCGTGTGCAAAATGTCCTGTTATTGTCAAATAAAGGCATGTGATGGGCTATATAATTCCAGCTTTTGTAATAACCAGAGAAAGGAATTCACTTCTATGAACTCAATTATATTCTTGGATCACATGCATGGTTTCATACTCCATCTTATGCTGATATCAAACACATTTTAGACCAATTCACAATTATGATTGACAGCTAAATTGGACAATGCTGTTGACCAGATGTTCCAGGAATGTGATATAATCAGAATGGATCTGTTTCTGATAATTGACCCAGACTGGCCAGTGATTGGAATCATGTCCCTTTCCTCAGGAATACCACAGAAGCGACAATCAAACCCTTTGTGGCCACACCACTGTTCATGCTTGCATCTAATCAACTGAAAAACCACAGATACTTTCCAGATGATCTGATAACCGATCACTTAGATAAAACAATTCATCAGTCCAGAAAATTACCTCTACAATCTCCCGATAATCAACTTTTGTATCTTTCATACCTTAGAAAGAATGCTGGAGAAAAAAATAATTGATGGAAAGAAGCATTTTCAAGATGGGAATTAATTGCTAGTCAAAACAGAACATGGACAAGAACGTGAGACGAAATACAAACACGACTATAGTACAAATAAATGCACAGGTCTGGTCTTATCATTCTAATTTGTCAAGATTTAAGGCCATGCACCTTGATATCCTGTTGAACAGTTTTCCTTTTTTAAGTACAAGGCAAGGGTAATTGGGAGGCAGGAAAATAAAGAGACTGCCATGTCCCTTCCTCCCCATGATGGCATGAATAAATACACATCACCCCAAAGAACCCAAGGAAGCAGGAATGCACAGTACAATCGTCTTTGATGGACAACACATTCAATGGAAAGGGTCAGTAAATTGACAGCAGGAATTTTTTCTCTAACAAACAACCAATCAACCAACCACAAGAAATCTTCGAAAAGGAATATTTGACACTTTTCATTTCTAAGCATTCATAATTCATATTCAGTTTCATGTGCATGAACACAGCCATAAAGTATTACAGGCAGTTTTTGTGATTTTGGCAGCATTCTTGACCGGATTGAATGCAATGAGATGTGACATACGCAAAGATGCAAAATCAAAAGATATTTTTTGTTAGACAATCATGCAAAACAAAATCCTCCACACAGAATCATAAATAGAGCTATATACACAGTAGTCACCAAAATAAGTTTAGAGATATTCAGACATGTCAGAAACAAATATTCATCCAGAAACAAATGTTCCGAATATTCCAATGGGCATACAAGCTCTAATCCTAGTGCAGCCAGGATACTATGAAAAAAGGCTTTTAGGATCTTCAGGTCATCTCTAAGCTGAGGGTATCTCCTCCTAATCCATCAGTCTGATCCCCCTCTGGACTTCTCTAAATATCTTGTCAACAGCTCTAGACTACAGTATAAGCTAAAGCTGCTTGCAAAGGGCCTGCCAACTGAGAGGAGAGATAACGCATTGGTAGGATTCTTTACAGGCATTTAGGCCACATCAGATGGCACAGTTACAACTTACATATGCCTGCTGACAACAGCTAGACTACAATACTGGGAGTGAAACCATCTGTCTATAGAAGGTATAGGGATGCTGGTTGATAACAGACACCTTATGAGGTGTGAGGTTACCTGTATGTAAGATAAGTTTTGATTTGATGCCAGCATATTGATATGTTGACCCTATACTACGGAAGAACCAGGCCGGCTTTCGCCCAAGTAGAAGTTGTGCCCAACAGATTCATATTCTTCGTAGGATCATGGAGGGTTTCCTGTCCTACCAACTCCCACTCACTGTTACATTTATCGACTTTAAAAAGGCATTTGATTGCATCAACAGAAGGGTCATGTTCTCCGTCCTTCGTCACTATGGCATACCCGAGGTTATAGTTAATGCCATCCAAGTACTTTACTATAACTCCAAGAGTGCAGTCTTTGTTGATGGCAACATCTCCGACCCATTCCAGGTGACAACAGGGGTCCTACAAGGAGATGTGCTTGCCCCGTTTTTGTTTATAGTGCTTATAGACTACCTGATGTCAGAATCAATCAAAAGCACAGACTCAGGCGTAGTTACGCATCCTCGGCAATCCAGAATTAATGATTTGGACTTTGCCGACGACATTGCACTTCTTGAGTCAACCATACCCAGGGCGCAGGAACAGCTTACTAAAACAGCAGTTGCGGGGAAACAGCTTGGGCTCATCATCAGTGTACCCAAGACAGAGTACATGACGTATAACTGCAACCCACAACTGCCGCTAGAGGTATATGGACAGCCAATAAGACATGTTGCCAACTTCAAATATCTGGGGTCCATGATGGCCACTAGCAGTCATGACATGGCTAAGAGGAAATCACTTGCATGGACTGCTTTTTGGAAGCTGGAGAAGATCTGGAGAAGTCCATCAATCTCCACACCCACTAAACTCAAGCTTTTCAACACCACCTGCGTGACAATACTGCTATATGGCTGTGAATCCTGGGTCATAACGGGGGACATGGAGAATAAGCTAAACGCGTTCGCCACATCATGCTATAGGGTCATGCTTAACATCAAGCGCCTAGACCATGTGAGCAACGCCTGGATCTACAAGTTGACAAACACTCGACCCCTTATCACCATGGTAAGGCAGCGTCAACTTCGATTCCTGGGACATGCACTTAGAATGCCTGTGGGGGAACCAGTGCCGGACATATGCCCTGTATGTACCGACGCACGGCAAAAGGCGCCCAGGGCGCCAGCGACTCGACTACCTGGGCTACGTCCGGAACCTGTTTGGGGACACCGAGGGTGACCTGCGGCCAGAGGACATTGCCA